GAGCGACTTAGTAGGTGCAAAAGTCGGCTCCTAACTGAAGGTCGCGTGTTTGATCCATGCTCACCGCACCATGCAAAGAGACACTCGACAAAGGTAGTGCACTAGATTACGGGGGTTGGCACGAACTACTGAGAGTGATCATAAATTTGCCTAGATCCTTTGTGCTTGCACAATCACGGGAGAAATCGGCAAGAGTTTCACTAGCAAATTTGGAATTATAGAATAAGTTGAACAAGCAATGACAGCAATGACTACATCAGGCACCTAGCATCCGTGCAGCTAGCCTGGTCAACCACTAGCACAGTTTGGTCGACCGCCTGCCAGCGTTGCGTAGAGGAGTCGCGCCAGCACTGCAGAAGGGCGACCTGCCAACAGAGCGGGTCGACGGCATGCCAATGCTGCAGCAGAGTGGCTGTTCAGCGTTGCCCGGTAGAACATAGCAGACGATTGGCCCGATTTGCCTCGTTAGGCATTTGTCAGCTGTTGTCTGCGCTTGAATAGCCACATCGACTTCGGGATACCAGGTTAACATTCGCCATCGCGCCTTCGACGACGTCCGCGTGCCTCCGCATAACTCGTCGAACAGGTTACCCGGTCGACCTGGACACCACGAGGTGCTCTGGTCGACGACCAGTGCCTCCGGTCGACCACCGAGTGCCTCTGGCCGACCACCAGGTGCCTCTTGTCGACCACAGGGTCGCTTTAGTCGACCACCAGATGCCTCTGGTCGACCACAGCTCCTGTCGAGCTACCCCTTGGTCGACGGACCCCTTCCGTTGACCGGAACTGTCAGCGGTTGTCGCCGAGCTCCCCTCGTCGACCGCTGCTCACTTGACAGGTCGACGGACTGCTCTATAGACCTCCCAGTAAAACTGGAGGTCGACGGACTGCTCCGACGGCCTCCTGGTTGAGCTGCAGATTGACGGACTGCCCCGTCGACCTCCCGGTCGAGCTGCAGGTTGACGGACTGCCCCGTCGACCTCCCGGTCGAGCTTCAGGTCGACGGACTGCTCCGTCGACCTCCCGGTCGAACTGCCCCACCTGGTCAACAGCCCACCCGTCGCCCAGACCCGTCAGTTGTAGCTGTCGAGCTCCCTGGTCGATAGCAACACCACAGCGGTCCCCTGCAGCTCGACGAATCCTGTCGAGCAGCTCTCCCACTGTGAACGGTCGGCTGCTACTCTCTTACATCCGACCAAGATGTCGGTGTTGCCCAAGCGAGAGCGGGGCCAACAATCCACTCCCGTCAACAGTTACTCATACCGCCGACACGATCCAACTCTTCGCCGCGAAATAAGTCGAGACCCTCGCTAAGAAGTTCGGCATCGCTCCCATCGGCATTACCACCCTGTTTCGCACTCCTCCGCCCAACCACGAGCCCGACACCACCCCACTCTCCCCGGCCGACCACCGTCTCTACCAGCATCAGCTCGGGTGTCTATTGTTCGCGGCTTTCACATGCCGCCCGGACCTATCCTACATCGCCATCCAGCTTGCCTAGTATCTGCGCCGACCTGAAGAGGAAACATGGCAGACCTGCGACGCGCCTTACATTACTTCGTCTCTACGCCCGATGTCGGCCTCACCTAGAAGGCGAATCTAACGGCTACTCTACAGCTTACCGGCTACGTAGATGCTGACCATGCTGGGGATGCAGACAACAGGAGGTCCCGCACATGCTTCATTTTCAAGCTTGAGCCAGCTAGAACCATCTCCTGGATCTCACAGAAGCAGGAGCTCATCGCCCTTTCGTCAGCAGAAGCAGAATCCATCGCAGCAAGTGCAGTAGTCTGCGAAGGTCACTACCTCACGGAGCTCCTGCAGGAAACGAAGATGGCGATGAACGGGTCCTTCAAGTTACTCTGCGACAACCAGAGTGCGATCAAGATCGCAAACAAGTCGGGCGTCGTCAACCGCACAAAACACATCGCCTTGCGTTACTTCTTCGTGAAGGACGAAATCGACAAGGGGAAGGTCTAGCTCATCTACTGCCCAACTGGCGAGATGGCAGCTGATTTTCTGACAAAGAATCTGCCTCGTCAGAAGTTGAGTACTGCTCGGACCTGTGTGGAGTCGTTCGAAAGAGCCACGTGGCGCACCTTGAGGAATGTAGGGGAGTGTTGGAGTATGAAGGGAATTGAGTTTAGCATTCCCGTAGGTGCAGCTGTATCGCACCCGTCATTATTGAAGCATTGCTAGCATCAGTATCGGATCAGCCCGTATCAAGGGCAGGAAGGTCAACAGTCGCAAGAATCAACTGTCCCGACTGTTGACCATCTAAACTGACAATTGCCGCACCATCGAGAAATGGCAACAGGCGTAACCATCTCCACGGTTACATGCAGCGACTCGGTAACAAGAAGAAGTGCAATAGTCAGAGTCATTGTAGAGTTGCATGTAAACCAGTTATAATAAGGGAATGTAGCCCTCAGAATATATGGCTTGTTAGATCTATTCATTATGTGTGTAATATATGTTTTAATCACTCCCATCCCATCCAAGATCCTTCCTCTAACAACGACAACCCTTGTGCGCACGATACGTGTTGTAACGGTCGCGAAATGCGCAGATTTGCATGTACATGGTCAGAAGGACACACGATCGGCTTTTCATGTACGAATGGTTTGCATTGAAAGCTCGACCTAGGTTCAATGTCCTAATTTGTGAAAAAAGGTAGGGGTAGGACACACAATTCTCTGGCAAAAAGTTTCGCGACATTGACGAAAAGTGTTACCACCAAATGTTTAACCAAATTTAAGAAAGTCTACACCAAAAGACTAGTGTTCATGGGGGATTTACTGTTCCTTTTGAACAGTACTTTCCCAACCCATCCAACCCATCCTCATCTTATCTTTCTAGATTTCCTAGTGCCACGTGGCACTCTACTTTCTTTGCATCACATTTCCTAGTCCCACCGAGTACTTTCCGACATTCGATCTTGCATGCTATATCATCCTTGCTTGTATCCACCAATATCAATCAATTCTCATTCAACTCTTCAATTACTGAGTTACTTCTTCGCCCATTTCGCCAACACTCTCTTTCGTCGAAGTCTTCCGCCGCGCTTATCCTCAATTTAGTCAACCCCGCTATTCCTTAGCGGATTTAGGCCAAGGGGCCTAACACTAGTCTCCTTTGGGTTGTACTTCAACTGCACGTACAGTACACTGTATGGGATTGACTTCTGGTTGATCAATAGCTGTTGGGGTCATGGGCCATGGCCAACACAGAAGCTGTCCTGCTTGATGGACGCTTGCGTGGACTGTAAATCGGCGTATGGACTAAGAAGAAATCTAGAGAGAACCATCTCCAGCTATGGAAAGCGATGGATTAAATGCAAGTTTTGGCACGTACACTGTACCGCTGTTCACATGGTCACCGGGAAATTGAATTCCTTTTTCTTTTAGCCCCCAAGTAATATAGGTAATCACCCTAGCACAATCTTTGACCGAAGGTTGTGTCAGACGCTTTAGCTATTGCAGGGAAGTTCCGGCCTCCAGGGACAAGTCGGGTGGCGGAAAGGATTCGCAGCGAAAAAGCATGCCCATACAAGCGGTTATTTTTTCAGACTCGCAAGTGTGAGCTTTCCTGCAGCGATCATGAGGCTTCATTCATAGCCCCTATCTTCTGGATTTCTAACTGATTGAGCCAGAAATGGCGCGGGGCGACTCTGAAAGGAGTTTGGGGAAGTGAATTCATCGGTGTCCAGCTGTTAGTCCTAAAAACACACTCCCTGCACACATGCTCCAAACGCATTTCTGGTTCGGTTCCGTAAGATTTGATGCAATCTAGAGCGGTCAAGAGGAGGCTCACACTGTGCAGTCTGGCGCAATTGCGTACCTTTGGCATTATCCAACTGGAGTCCCATCTTTTCTTGCCCACCACCACACACGCTCTCTTGCTCTCTCTTGCACAACGTTTGGCTGGCTTGACGGGCCTCTCGACACAATCATCTTCCGCCCCCCTTCACTCAACACAAGAGCCAGCTGCGAGAGAGCTCACCACTTTTGTCAGAAGGCTGCGCCAGCTGCGGCACCGCTCGCTGCAGAGACTGTACTGTATCAGGAGGAGAGCTTGCAGCCGCGCTCCGCATTCGCACATCACCTGAAGTTGCTGCTTCATGTTCTTGCGAATTCGAATACGTGATTAGCCTGTCGCTTGCACTCTCTTCGATCTGTTTTAGCTGGTGTTACTAGCAGCGTTTTCTTCGATTACTGAGTAAAACTGAGAGCACCCAGGTGTGCTTACTCACCTGACCCACATTCGTCGAGAATTACGCAACGGTTGACTTCGGACCACCTGGATTTGACACTTCTCACACATTTTGACATAATTCTGAAACCTGATTCCGTGACAACTAAAAACGGCTAACGTCAGGTCACTTTGGGCAATGGAGAGTACACTCTCTATGCCCTTCAGGAATAGATGATCAGACCTTTAGTCGAAGCAGAACCAGAAACAGGCGAGCAAGAAGCTGGCAGCTAAGCGGTCACATTGACGCGTTAGTTCGACTTGCAGTCCACCGCATGGAGTACGCTGCGGTTGAGATCGGTCCACCTGGGTCGCTCTTATACAGAAAATTCCTCTTGGACGCGGCGCGACTCGCCGTCGCGCCGCCAAACCCTAGTGACAGCGTTTCGGTTACACCGCCACTTGCCGCGCCGCAGACTCCCAAGGCGAAGACGAAGCGCGGAAGGTTCACGTCTCCGCTTTCGCCGCGGCCTTCGCCGGCGCCGGCAGCGGCAGCGGCGCAAGACCTCGTCGTCGTCCCCCTTTCCCCATGGCACCAAGTCCCGCTGCGTTTCTCCGCCTCTGCCTCCGCCTCCCCAGCGACGACGGGAGGTCTTGATGGAAGTCAATACGAAATAGCGTCCGGTGGTAGATTAGAGGGCTTCGACAAGAGCATTCTGAATTCGGCCAGAGTTACACTCTTCCCCGCGCTTAGCGCTACAGCGGCTGCTGGCCCCGCGGGTATCGCCGGCGGCGGCGATTTTTTCCGCATGGTTTGCGCCGTTCCGCGCGGCACGTGGGCGCAGGTGGAGCTTGCGGTGGCGGAGCCTCCGCACCATCCGCTGCGCGTGCGCGGAGTGAACGATCTCCCCTCTCATTATAATCACAACCTTCAGTGGAACGTCGGCTTCCTCCCGCAAACTTGCTGCTGCTTCGAGATAGACCAACTCGACGGTACTACAAGTAACGCTACTAGTAGTAGTACTATCAGTGCTGATAGCGACGGTGACGGCGGCTTCTTCACACCGCGCTCGCTAAGTGCGGCGGGAACGGCGGAAAAGCTTCGCTCGTTTAGCGGAACCGTTACGGGCGGAGGCGAACACGGTCCCCTGGAGGTGGTGGATATTGGGGGAGCGCGGGCGGAAGTGGGGCAGGTGTATCTGGTGAAGGCTCTTTTGGCGTTTCTGGTGGTTAGCCCGAACCTCCATACGCACTGGACTGTGATTGCAACGAGCGACGTTAGCGATGATGCCGACGATGGCGACGATTGCATGGCGACGCGTCTGGAGGAGATTCGCGAGTGGCTCAAGTTTCGAGGATGCTTGTCGCCGCGTGAGTTGACCAGATTTGAGTAGCAGTTATAAATAGCTACAGTTGTCTTTCAGATACGAATGCTATAAGTCTAGTGAACATTCCCTTCCCTTCATCATTTCTCCACAAGCACCAGTCGACCTCCTTTGCTCTTTTTTCCTTCATCATTGTGCCTTTTTATCCTGTCAACACCGATGCTCGCTCAAGAACCCAATCAAATCCAAATCAAATCCCAATTCCAACCCCCTCCTTTGCCTTCCCCAAACACCCGGCCTTTCCAACCCCCTCCTCTCCCCCCCTCCTTCCCCAATTTTCATTTCCGGACCCTTCCCCCTCCTGCTCCCTGTTGTAACCAGTGGACCTCCCTTGCTCCATTTCCTTACGGGAGAAACCTGTGCCTCTCAGCCGTACGATCTCCGTGATCAACGGCGCACATGCCGCCTGGAAAGACGCCCATGGGTATGCTTTCATGCCACCTCAGCAGCAGCAGCAGTCAGCTGACCAAAACCAGCAAGATGAAATGCTTCTAAGCCAGCTGCGGGAATCGGTGGACTGCACACGTGGCGGCTCTGTGGAGTGCCACGTGGCAGGCAGCAGTGTGGTCTGCGTCCCACTTTCCGAGCCACGCGGGGCACAAGAGATTGTTAGAAAAGCGTCTGGGACATTGATGCCTGGCGCTGCTGCTGCTGCATTGGCTGCTGCTGGTTTGAGTGAGGAGGGAGGAGTAGGAGGAGGAGGAGGAGGAGGAGGAGGAGGAGGAGGAGGAGGAGGAGGAGGAGGAGGAGGAGGAGGAGGAGGGAAGAAGGGAGGAGGGAAGAAGGGAGGAGAAGGGAAGAAGGGAGGAGGGAAGAAGGGAGGAGAAGGGAAGAAGGGAAAAGCTAAGGGAAGCAAACCATCTCGTGTTGATCACACTCGATCCTCATCCTCCCCTGTATGGCTAGAGACGGCGTTTGATGGGTCAGGATCGCCACAAAACGGTACCGAATCTGCTTGTAACGGATTGGATCCTTCCGGAAGGTACGGATCGCCACAACCGAGTAAATCCAGATTCAAAAGTGGTTTGGGCCTGATAAGTAAAACACTTAGAGGAAAGGAAGAGGAGGGAGAGGAGGATGTGGGAGGAGAAGAGATGAGGAAGGGGAAGGGAAAGGTGCTTGTTTCAGATAGTTCTGGGGTGAGAAAAGGCAAGTTTCCTTTCAAAATCCGTAGCAGCGGCAGCGCAGAGAAGGAGGAGGGGAAAGGGGAAAAGAAGGAGGGGAAGGGAGAAAGGAAGAAGGAGGGGAGGGTAGGGAGTACGAGGAAGGAGAGGAGGAAGGATGAAGCTGGGGAGGAGAATGGGGAGGACGGGCAAGGTGGGAGGAGTGGAAGGAGAGAGGGAGACGAAAAGGTGACGAGACGGGAAAAAATTGTCAAGAGTAAATCCAATGTTGAGGAGAAGGTAAAGAAAGGGATGTTAAAGAAGCTGTTAAAGAAAGGGACAAAGCGGACTGGCAAATCCGTTGCTGATGGTGATGGTGATGGTGATGATAAAGTAGACAATGGCGAGTATGAGGAGTATAGAGAAGAGAAATTCACGGAAGAGAGAGTAAGAGAGGGGGGAGTGATCGAGGAGAGAGAGAACGAGGAGAGAGTGAGAGAGGAGAACAATGAGGGGATTATGAACCAGCTAGGTGCAAAGGGCAATGGCAGCAGCAGCAGCAGCAGCAGCAGCAGCAGCAGCAGCAACGGCCAGGTCTTGCAGCGATCGCCTCTCATCTCCAAACGCTCACTTCCCAAGAAAATTACCACCTTCCCTACCTCTTCCTCAGTTAACGTCTCCTGCTTCCCTCCCCTCTCCTCCCCCTTCTCCTCTCCCTTCTCCTCTCCCTTCACCTCCCCTTTCGCCTCCCCTCGCGCCTCCCCTCCCGGCTCCCCTCGCCCCTACGCTCTCCACCGTTCCCCTCGCTTTCGACAAAAACACCCCTTCCCTCCATCCTCTCCCACTGCCGAGGCCAACAGCAGCAGCTCCGTTATTAGCGCACTCAATAGCGGCACTGCAAGCATCGACATGGCTGCTCGGAGTATGACTGTTGATGGGAGGTCCTATCTGGAACAGGAGCGTACAGGAGGAAGGGGAGAGAGTGGGGAGGGAGGAGGGGGGGAGAGCGACCAGGATTGCTCGCAGCGCGACTGGCAACAGGCATCTGACCGTCCATCTGAAACTGCAAAGTCAACGTTGCATCCCAGCCGCTCGTTGCCTGCTCTTGCTCCTTCCATTTTTACCATTGGCTCTTCCCCCCTTTCTGCCGCTCTTCCTCCTCCTCCTGCTGCTGCAGCAGCTACTGCTGCTGGTGCTGCTGCTGGTGCTGCAGCTGGTGGTGCTGCTGCTGTTGCTGGTGCTGCTGCTGAAGATGAGGATGCTGCCATGATACCAGAGCCAAACAGACGACACACCACCGGGAGTCAGCCAAGCAACCCTCCCTTAATCACCACCCCCGTACGCAGCAGCACTGGCGGCACGCGCAGCAGCACCAGCGGCATCAGCAATTCCAGCAGCAGCAGCAATAACGCCACCAGCAACTTTGGCAGCAGCAGCAGCAGCAGTTTTATTAACAGCAAGAAGGGCAGCAGCAGCAGCAATCGCGAGACCCTGTTTAAGAAGGAGTGTTTTGAGACGTCTCAAAACAATCGCGAGACCCTGTTTCAAACCGCAAGGAAGGGCAGTCAAAGGCTGAGTTTCGATGGGAGTGCGGTGGGTTCTGAGGTGGTGTTGGATGGGGGTGCGATGGCTGTTAAGATGGCTCGTAAGACAAGCATGGGTGGACAAAAGCTGGGCGTGAGGGGGACTGGGAGGGCTTTTGAGGCACCTTTTGAGGCACCTTTTGAGGCACCTCAAAAGTCGTCAGAGGTGGGAATGGATGTCAGTGCGAAGGTCCCTAAGATGCCTCGTACAACGAGCATGGGTGGGCAAGCGGTAGGGGCGAGTGAGAGGGGGAGGGGTTCTGAGATGTTTCGTACGACAAGTATGGGTGGGCAAGAGCTGGGTGTGAGTGGGCGTGGGGCCGGGAGGGGCGTAGGCGTTGGGATGAGTTTGGGTTTAGAGATACCCACAAGTTACTCTGATGCTGTTGTTTTGAAAAGTTTTATGGGAGATGCTTGTGGTGACATTGAAGAGCTTTCTATCGAGGATGAAAGGGGTGAGGAGGAAGGGAGTGAAATGGAGTTGGTGAGTCCGGATTCGAACTGGTTCAGTGCCGGGAGAAAGCATGGAAGAGAGGAGGGGAGAGAGGAGGGGAGAGAGGAGGGAAGAGAGGGGGGAAGAGAGGAGGGGAGAGAGGAGGGGAGAGAGGAGGATGAGGAGGAGGAGGAAGAGGATGGGGAGGAGGATGAGGAGGAGGAGGAGGAGGAGGAGGAGGAGGAGGAGGAGGAGGAGGAGGAGGAGGAGGAGGAGGAGGAGGAGGAGGAGGAGGAGGAAGAGGATGGGGAGGAGGATGGGGAGAAGGAGGAGGAAGGGGAGGATGAGGAGGAGGATGGGGAGGAGGATGAGGGTGAGGAGGATGAGGAATATGCTGATGGGGATGAGTTGACTCCAATGACCTCGCCTGTAGCAACTACTGTGGCCCTTTCCCGCTCTCCTGTGCTTAGTCGGAGGAAGAACGAAGAGGAGGAGGAGGAGGAGGAGGAGGAGGAGGAGGAGGAGGAGGAGGAGGAGGAGGAGGAGGAGGAGGAGGAGGAGGAGGAGGAGGAGGAGGAAGAGGTGGAGGAAGAGGAGGAAGACGAGGAGTTTACTGCAGCCCCTAGTCCTATGGCGCTGTCCCCCTCCTCATCATCATCCCCCTCTGGCTACCCTGTCTCCATGTCCCCACCACCTCGCTCCCCTAAAGTGTCCAGATTCAACGCACCTGGACAGAAGAAGAGGGGCAAAAAGGGAGGCGGAGCAGAGGGGCCAGAGATGGGTGTAGGGTTTCCCATCCGAAGGGGAAAAACTGGGGCTTCTGGAGCTTCTGCTGCTGGTGTCTCAGGTGGTTTTTCAGGTGGTTTTTCACATGGTGGGGTTTCAGCAGGTGAGCCTTCAGGTGGTGGGACCGGTGGGAAGCCAATGCACAGACAGTGCAAATCGTTTTCTGGCTTTGACTTTGGACAGACGCTTCTTGAGGATCGGCCGAAAGAGTCCAGGTTCAATGCACCTGGGCAGGAAGCGGGAGGGAGGACTGATGGTGGGGGGAATTCGGGGCAAAAGGGGGCAGTACAGCAAAAGGGGGAGGGAGTGCAGGCCGACAAAGCTCGGCGTGCCATCCCAAAGGCAAACACAGGGGGTTCTGTTGCTGCTGCTGCTGCTGCCGCCGCCGCCGCTGCTGCTGCTGCTCGGGCTTCAGGTGGTGGGAGTTTAGCAGGTAAAAGTTCAGGTGGGGGGGTCGCTGGTAGCCTCAGGCACAGGAAGTGCCAGTCGTTTTTTGATTCGACTCAGGAGTTGAATCTTGAGCCGACTCAAAAGTCAGGTGGGGGGAATGTAGCAGGTGATAATTCAGGTGGGGCGGCTGCTAGTAGCCTCAGGCACAGGAAGTGCCAGTCGTTTTCCGGCGTTGACTTTGGCTTGATTGCACCTGGGCAGGAAGCAGGAGGGAAGACTGGCGGCGGGGAGAATTCAGGGCGGAACAGGGCAGTGCAGCAAAAGGGGGCGGGACGAGAAGAGGGAGTGGGGGCCGGCAAAGCACGGCGTGCCATCCCGAAGGCAAACACTGGGGGTTCTGTGGCTGCTGCTTATCCTACTGCCGCCGCTGCCGCCGCCGCCGCTGCTGCTGCTGCTGCTTCTGCTGTTGCTGCCTCTTCTAGCCCCAAGCACAGGAAGTGCCAGTCGTTTTCCAGCTTTGACTTTGGCTTGTTTTCACCTGGACAGACGGGTTTCGAGGCACAGCCACAAGAGTCCAGGTTCATTGTACCTGGACAGAGGATGCCCAAGGTGCAACACAAAGAGGCCAGGTTCTACGCACCTGGACAGGAAGAGAGGAGGAGGACGGGTGGGGGGCCCAAGGATGGGTATGAAGGGGCAGTAGAGCAAAAGGGCACGGGACGAGACGTGGGAGGGAAGACTGGTGGTGGGGAGAACTTGGGGCGAAACAGGGCAGTACAGCAAAAGGGCGTGGGTCGAGACGTGGGAGCATGGGTCCAACAAGCACGGCTTGCCACCCCAAGGGGAAACACCGAGGTTTTAGTAGCCACTCATACTGCTCATACGGCTGCTGCCGCTGCTGCTGCTGTTGCTGCTGCTGTTAGTCGTGGTGGTGGTGGTAGGGTTTCAGGTGATGGGATTTCAGCAGGTGAAAATTCAGGTGGGAGGAGTACTGTTAGGCCAGGACACAGGCAATGCCTGTCGTTTTCTGGCTTTGAGTCTGACTTGGGTCAGTGGGATATGGCTATTGCGGCGCCTCAAACGTCTGTTTTTGAGTCTGACTTGGGTCGGTGGGATATGGGGAACGGCAGGGAGGGAGGGAGAGGAGCGGGGATAGCGAGCAGAGTAGAGAGTTTGACTGAGTGGGATATGGGGGACGGGAGGGAGGAAGGGAGAGGAGGGGATATAGCGAGCAGAGGGCGTAGAGAGGAGGGCTTGAGTGTGTGGGAAATAGAAGACGGGAGGGAGGGAGGGAGAGGAGGGAGAGGAATGGGGATAGTGGGTAGAGTGGAGAGCTTATGTGAGTGGGATGTAGGGGACGGGAGGGAGGGAGGGAGAGGAGGGGGGATAGTGAGCACGGGGCATAGAGAGGAGAGCTTGAGTGTGTGGGAGAGGAGGAATGGGGGGGGGAGAGGGGAGGGAGGGGAGGGAGGGAGTTTGTCACCTAGAGTAGTGTCGCTTGGGACCAGGGCGAAGGGAAGAGGAGGAGAGAGAGAGGCAAATGGAGGTGGGAGGAGGGGAGGGAGAGGAGGGGAAGGAGGAGAAGAGGGAGGGTTACTGACGTCACCGGCAGTGACGTTTGATTCTTCTGGGGTGAAAGGAGGAGAAGGAGAGAAAAATATGGATGGGGGAGGGAGAGGAGGAGATGGAGGTTCACGGGAGAAGGAGGGGAAAGGGAGAGGGCATGAAGGGAAGGGAAGGAAGGGAGGAGAGGGTGATGGAGAGATGGCATGGATAGAAGAGATGAGGCGAGTGGCAGTAGGTGGCGGAGGCAGCAGCAGCAGAGGCACAGGCGTTGGTGGGGCTGGCACAGGCGTTGGTGGGGTTGGCACAGGCGTTGGTGGGAGGAGGAGAGGTGTGAGCATGGATATGGGCGCTGTTTGGAGTTTGGAAAGGGCTTCGGGAGGAGATAGCTTGAGTAAGGATGTGAGCCAGAGTGTGAGCAAGGATATGAGCAAGAGTGCGAGCAAGGATATGAGCCAGAGTGTGAGCAAGGATATGAGCCAGAGTGTGAGCAAGAGTGCGAGCAAGAGTGGGAGCAAGAGTGCCACTAAAAAATCCCCCACCATTAAAAAATCCCCCACCACTAAAAAATCCCCCACCATTAAAAAATCCCCCACCATTAAAAAATCCCCCACCATTAAAAAATCCCCCACCACTAAAAAATCCCCCACCACTAAAAAATCCCCCACCATTAAAAAATCCCCCACCATTAAAGAAACCCCCATTGGTGTCAAGAGGGAAAGTGCAGGAGAGGAAATGGCAGGAGGGGGAGCAGCAGCAAGGGAAATGGCAGGAGGGGGAGCAGCAGCAAGGGAAATGGCAGGAGGGGGAGCAGCAGCAAGGGAAATGGCAGGAGGGGGAGCAGCAGCAAGGGAAATGGCAGGAGGGGGGGCAGCAGCAATGGAAATGGCAGGAGGGGGGGCAGCAGGAGGAGACACAGGGGTTCCCAAGTCCCCTCGAGGCGTGGGCAGGAAAGGCATCATGCCTTTTACTCCCCCCAGTGACGACATTCTGAGCACCCTCTTTAAATCTCCAAGCATCTCAGCCCCTAGCCCTAGAGGAGGAGGAGGGGGGGCAGGAGAAGCAGCAAAAGGAGGGGCAGGGGAAGCAGCAAGAGGAGGAGGGGCAGCAGGAGGAGACACAGGCGTTCCCAAGTCACCACGAGGCGTGGGCAGGAAAGGCATCATGCCTTTTACTCCCCCCAGTGACGACATTCTGAGCACCCTCTTTAAATCTCCAAGCATCTCTGCCCCTAGCCCTAGAGGAGGAGAGGGGGGGGCAGGGGGAGCAGCACGAGGAGGAGGGGCAGCAGGAGGAGACACAGGGGTACTCAAGTCACCTCGTGGGGTGGGCAGCAGGGACAACGCAGGTTGGACCCTCGCTCAAGGAGGGGAGGCAACTGGAGGAGACACAGACGTACCCAAGTCGCCTCGAGGGGTGGGCAGCAGGGACAACGCAGCTTGGACCGCCCTCGCTCACGGCCTTCGCAGCAAAAGCTTCAACTACGGAAAAACAGGCATTGTATTTTCAGCAGGAGAGGAAGGAGGAGGGGGAGGCGGAGGGGGAGGCGGGGGGGAAACAGGGCCCCCCAAGTCGGCTTTTGAGTCGACTCAAAAGCCCCCCAAGTCGCCAAGAGGGGGAGGAGGGGGAGGGGGAGGGGGAGGGGGAGGGGGAGGGGGAGGGGGAGGGGGAGGGGGAGGAGGAGGCGGAGGAGGAGGAGGAGGCGGAGGAGGAGGCGGGGAAACAGGGCCCCCCAAGTCGCCAAGAGGGGGAGAGAGGAGGGACGTTGTAACCTCAACCCCCCCCACTCACGGCCTTCGTAGCAAAAGCTTCAACTATGGAAAAACAAGCATTGCAATTTCAGCAGGAGGTGAAGGAGGAGGGGGAGGAGGAGGGGGAGGAGGATGGGGAGGAGGAGGGGGAGGAGGATGGGGAGGAGGAGGGGAAACAGGGGCCCCCAAGTCGCCAAGAGGAGGGGGGAGGAGGGACAGCGTAACTTGGACCCCCCCAACTCAAGAAGCAGAAAGAGGCGGAGGAGGAGCAGCAGGAGGGGACACAGGGGTTCCCAAGTCGCCTCGAGGGACGAGCAGGAGGGACAGCATAACTTGGACCCCCCCAACTCCAGGCCTCCTCAGCAAAAGCTTCAGCGCCGCAAGTCCAACTATTAAAGCCAGTTATGAGACTTATCAAAGCTTCAGCACGGCAAGTCCAAGCTTCAAAGCCATGACTGTAGTGGGAGGGGGGGGGGCCATTAAAAAAGCTGCAGCAGGGGGGGCAGTAGGGGGAACAGCAGAGGGAGCAGCAGGGGGAGCAGCAGGGGAAGCAGCAGGGAAACCACCAAGGGGAGGGGGGGCAGCAGGAGGGGGCACAGGGGTTCCCAAGTCTCCTCGAGGGATGCCTAGTTTGCTCAACAAAAGCTTCAGTGCGGCAAGTCCAACCATCAAAGCCAGTTATGAGACTTATCAAAGCTTCGGCGCGGCAAGTCCAAGCTTCAAAGCCATGACTGTAGTGGGAGGAGGGGGGGCCATTAAAAAAGCTGCAGCAGGGGGGGCAGTAGGGGGAACAGCAGAGGGAGCAGCAGGGGGAGCAGCAGAGGGAGCAGCAGGGAGAGCAGCAGGGGGAGCAGGAGCGGGAGCAGCAGGGGAAGCAGCAGGGAAACCACCAAGGGGAGGGGGGGCAGCAGAAGGGGACACAGGGGTTCCCAAGTCTCCTCGAGGGGTGCCTAGTCTCCTCAGTAAAAGCTTCAGCGCCGCAAGTCCAACCATCAAAGCCAGTTTTGAGACGTATCAAAGCTGTAACGCCGCAAGTCAAAGCATCAAAGCCATGACGGTAGTGGGAGGAGTGGGAGCCATTAGAAAAGTAGCAGCAGAGGGAGCAGCAGGGGGAGAAGCGGGGGGAGCAGCAGGGGGAGCAGCAGGGGGAGCAGCAGGGGGAGAAGCAGGGGGAGAAGCAGGGGGAGCAGCAGGGGGAGCAGCAGAGGGAGCAGCAGGGGGAGAAGCAGGGGGAGCAGCAGGGGGAGCAGCAGAGGGAGCAACAGGAGAAGCAGCAAGGGCAGGGAGGGCAGCAGGAGGGGACGCAGGGGTCCCCAAGTCTCCTCGACGGGCGCCTGTGAGGGCAGGCGGACTGAAAAAGGCCGCAGCAACGGCAATGACTCAAGCTCAGGACGCTGCGTCTGCTTATGCCCCTGCTGCAGGAGGGGACACAGAAGTCTCCAAGTCTCCTCGACGGGTGCCTGTGAAGGCAGGCGGACAGAGAGAGGCTGCTGCTAAGGCAATGGCGAGACTCAACGCGGGGATGCGAGCAGCAGGAGGGGACACAGATGTACCCAAGTCTCCGCGAGAGGCTGCTGCAAGGGCAATGGCTCAAGCTCAGTCCGCTGCATCTGCTTGTGCCGCTGCAGCAGGAGAAGCAGCAAGGGGAGGGGCGGCAGCAGGAGGGGACACAGAAGTCCCCAAGTCTCCTCGAGAGGCTGCGGCAAAGGCAATGGCGAGGCACAACGCAGCCATGCGCTGGAAACGCGCGGCTCAAGCTCATGCTGCTGCATCTGCAGCTGCTTCTGCTGCTAATGCTAATGCTGCTGATAATGCTGCTGGTAATGCTGCTGGTAGTTCTGCTGCCTCTGCTGCTGATGCCAGTGCAAACGGTGTTGCTGCTGCTGCAACGGCCACAGCAACAGCAGAAGCAGCATCAGCAGTTACTGCTTCATCAGCAGAGGCAGCCCCCGCCTACCTTCCCAGAACCTTCTCAGCAGTGTCTCACCTGCTGAATTCCTCTGGGCTCGGCGCGTGGCTCTCTCCCGGACCTAGCCCGGTAGGTTCGGGTGCTCACACTCCTGCAGGTTCGGCTATTCACACGCATGCAGGTTCGGCCGCTCACACTCCTGCAGGTTCGGCTGCTCACACTCCTGCTGCATCTGATGATGATAGCAGCCCTCGCCCGCAGATTCCTGCGAGTCTTGGCCGATTGGGAGAGCAGCAGCAGCAGCAGCAGCAGCAGCAGCAGCAGCAGCAGCTGGGGGAGCAGGGGCAGCGGAGAATAGGAGGAGGAAATCAGACGGGGCTGGGTCCCGGAGGGCTGCCATCGGGAGTGAGAAGGCGGGCGAGAATGGCCCGGCCGAACCTGGAGAGCGTGCAGGCATCGTGGGTGCATGATGACCCCGAGGACAATCCTGAGTATGCCGGCTGGGGGGCGACTCCCAAGGGAGGGAAGGCAGCAGGAGCAGGAGGCAGCAGCAGGCGTAGCAGCAGCAGGTTTTAATATGACTTGGACTACTCGGAGTCGCCCCGGAGCACTCGAGGGCGTTCCACACGGGATATTAATCGTGGTGAATGCATGAGGACCTTTGACTCGACTCAAAAGTCATCTTGTTACAATGTCACGCGGCGCCGTTCTACAAAAAGTAATATCATTGCCTGGAGGTTACCTAATCTTAATTATTACTGTTTTTTTGGCAGTGCTAAATCGTAGATTGTATTGCTATAGTACACACACACACATACACACACACACACACACACACACACACACACACACACACACACACACACACACACACACACACACACACACACACACATACACACATACACACATACACACACACGCACACACACGCACGCACACACACACACACACACACACACACACACACACACACACACACACACACACACACACACACACACACACACACACACACACACACACACACACACACACACACACACACACACACACACACACACACACACACACACACACACACATATGTATAGGTAATTCGTAGTCTAGGTTGAGTTGCTCTATATAGAGTATGGGTTGTTACTTTTATCCCTCTTTTTGTGCTCTGTTGTGTTATGACCAGAACGTGAACTTTGGTGCGTTCCCCATTGTGTAGAAATGGGTAATAGTTAAGTGTACAGAGAGGCTATCAAAACATTTGCGCTTGCTTTTCCAGTCTGATGCTTCCTTGCTTGCCAAGCTTGTCTGTTGCTGGCACAGAGGTTCTGTGCAATGAAACAACTTGCAGCTGCGCTGTGCTTTCCTGACTAGAAATCGCACCAGATTTCAAGAGTTCATGTTGGTGAGAATCGGGAGCACGTAAAGAGAATCGGGTGAGTACACAGTAATTGCGTCGGAATCCAAAACAGAAGTACAAACTGTATTCGTGATACGGAAAATCGTTTCACACCATGTTCTTCAGCCGTATCACTAGCTCGGTTCAGTACGTTTTAACTGATTATAGAACGGTCAAGAGGCGACTCGCACCTAGCGGTTACTTGCAAAACAGAGTAGCTTTGATGACTGGTAGGCTGGAAACTTGGCTGGAAAAGCTCAACAGAGCTGCTGGACTTGGCTTGATGAGAGAAAACTTCACTATGATCAAGATTAACAAGCCCACTAAAGCACAACTTCTTAAGCATTACAAACATGCAGATTGATAGCTCAAACTAGGCTGCTAGACAAGGCAACTTCCTTGGGAACTTGGGCACAATTCAGATTCCATGAACCTTGAGTGACTTGAGAGCCACATGAGGTGCATGAATAAGAAATCTCTGGAATGTACTGTTATAGCTGATTCTGTTTTGTAGAAACCTGTAGAAACTGTCGACCCTTCTGTTTGAGAGCAATCCCGAACTGTATCGAGTCTTCGGCTGCAATCTGATTTGCTGCGGAAGTTTCTGAATTTTCGCGAAGCCTTCAATCCGTCGCCGACATTCTTGCTGCTCCTTGTGTGCAAAGGGCTGGGGCGGCAGAGACTCGATTCTCCAACACTCCCCCTCGCACGAGACCCGAAGCACACATACGCCCCTTCTTACTCTCCTCTTACATCTCCTTGGCATACACTCCATGCTGCTGCCCATGTTGCTTCTCCTCATTCTTCTCAAACTGCTGCACTGCTTCATGAAGTGTCATGAGGCCTGCTCTTGCCTTGCACATGTTGAATGCATCATGTGGAAGAACCTTAGTCATGAAATCTGCCGCTTGGACGAATGAACGGCAAAAGTTGACGGCGAGAACTCCCTTCTCTAGTTGCTCACGAATGAAATGGTACTGCACCTCGATGTGTTTTGTACGCCCATGATGAACGGGATTCTTGGAGAGGGCGATAGCTGAAGTGTTGTCCACGTAGAGCGGAGTTGGTTGAGTTTGCGGCTGCCTCAAGTCCTCCAAGAGTCCACGTAACCAAATTGCCTCCCTTGCTCCTTCGGTCATTGCTATGTACTCAGCTTCGGTTGTAGAAAGAGCCACACAACTTTGCTTGCGCGATCGCCAAGAAACAGCGGCACCGCACATAAGGAAGATATAGCCACCGGTGGACTTGCGTGTGCTCAAATCTCCCGCCCAATCTGCATCGGTAAAGCCTTGGAGGGAGCTTGCATGTGGGCTGGCTTGGAAGAGAAGACTATGATTAGAAGTACCTTTGAGATACCGAAGAGCTCGCTTGGCTGCATGCATATGGATAGGTGATGGGGCACTCATGTGTTGAGCGAGCTTGGATACCGTGAATGCTAGGTCAGGCCTTGTGCATAGGGCTGCATACATGAGACACCCAACCTGACTTTGGTAGAGAGCTAGGTCTTGTGGGGATACCTTGGGTGAATTCTCACCATGATGCTCACTCTCCTCAAGACACAACTCCTCAATACCCGTGATATCCAGGCTTGACTCTCTCTCCTCAAAGGGCTGATGTGAAGACAAAGGGACAAAGTTGGTAGGAAGTGGGGTAGGTGATGGCTTGCTATCATCAAGACCAAACCTCTCAAGGACCTTTTGGATGTACCTTTGCTGGAATAGGAAGATGGACCGTGACTTATGATCTCTCACAATGTTCATACCAAGATAATGACTCGGCTCACCAAGATCGGTCATTGTGAATGCACTCATGAGAATACCTTTCACCTTGTTGAGGAGATCAAGAGAACCTGAGACTAGGAGGAGATCATCGACATATACCAAGAGCCAAATGTACTCCCCCTCACTCGTGTGCATGAAGTACAACGCGTTGTCTCTCATGGACCTTGTGAAACCGTGCTTGAAGAGTACCTTCTCAAGAGCATGATACCATACCCGTGGGGACTGTTTGAGACCATAAAGGGACTTTACCAAGCGACAAACTCGACCCGTACCATCATCATAACCTTCGGGTTGTGCCATGTATACCTCTTCTTCCAAGACACCGTAGAGAAATGCGTTCTTGACATCCATTTGATGGATATGGAGACCAAGATATGCGGCTATGGCGAGGAGGACTCGTACCGTGGTGTACTTCGCTACTGCGGCAAAGGTTTCGGTGAAGTCTAGACCTGGAATTTGGGAATAACGTTTTGCCACTAACCTTGCCTTGTACCTATCAAGTGTACCATCACCTTTTACCTTAATCTTGTACACCCACTTGACACCAATTACCTTCTTCCCTGGAGGTGGCTCAACAAGACGCCATGTACCTCTCTTCATGAGACTCTCAATCTCTTCTTCCTCGGCCTTCAACCATTGCTCTCTCTCGGGACTTGCCACTGCCTCACGACGACTCAATGGCTCTCGTGGAAGGTGTGACGCTGCCATGCATATTGCCTCTACCTTCTTGTGAATGCAATCCTCGCTCTCCTCACATGTGCACCTTGATGACATGTCAACCATGAATGTGAAGGGATTTTTTACCTTGCGGACTCGTTTACCTTTACCCAAAGCCTCACTTGGCTGAGACAAATCAATGGTAGGGTTCGGTCTCACAGTGGTTGGATGCGTTGACACGGTCATCTGCGGCTGAGACAATGGCTGCGACATCGGCTGCGACGGCGGCACGACTGCATGATCTTCTCCCGGCGTGGAACTCTCTCGATTATCGGTGTTGACTTGAGGAATAGGTGTGGTGACTTGTGTCGGTGAAGCTGAAATGTTCGTCGGCATAGTTGGCTGTGAAGATTCTCTTGGTGGGGATCTTGAGACTAGAAGCTTGGGAATTGATGATGACGCTGCGTTGTCGAAAGTTGGAGACGGTTCGGTCTGATTGGCGCTGGTTCTCGGTGTTGAAGATGGCGGTAACTGATGACGGCCGATTCCGGGACGTGGGGGTGAAGTTGAGAAAGGTCTTGGGTGAAGAAGTGGGCTGTTGGAGCTGGTGTTGGTGGTGATTCGCTGAAGTGATCCTCGTGCTATGAGCTGGCTTGACATTGGAACCTGAAGTGATGAACGTGTGTGAGAACGAGATGTTGCGGTAATGGTTGTCTTGTTGGTAGGAAGAATTGTAGATGGTGCTGATGTAGGTACTTGGAGTCTTGTAGCTGTAGGTTGCTGCTGCATTGGATGATGGTGAGCTTCTGTAGTTGCCTCTGAATTGACGGCTGGTGATGGGTTTGATGGTGTAGTGGTGGGCTGATCCGGGTGACGTTGAACTTGCGGGGTTGGTGTTGAAGTAGCTGGCTGGTTGGTGACGGTTGGCTGCTGCTCCTTTGGCGGTGATGTAACGGTTACTTCTTGGGGTGGATTGTCTTCATTTGACGGCTGAACCACATCTCCACTTGGTTGAGTAGCTGCTGGTGGCACTGGTGTGGCGCAGCTGGTCTCGTTGACGACGGCTTGCGGGAGATCGATGATGGGTCCGCTATGGTCAGAATTGGTGGCATCTCCGTCCTCCTCTTGTGTTGTTTCCTCAGGTGCTCTTGCTGGTTCCTGTTGGAGAGAGGATGGTAGAGAGGAGGAAGAGGAAAACTTGTGCCAATCTGCAAGGGACATGTCTTCATAGAAGACCACATCCCTTGAAATCACTTCTCGCTTGGTGACGGGATCCCAAAGGACCCATCCCTTGCTCTCGTTGCTCATGCCGATGAAGAGGCCCTAATGAGCTCTGCTGTCCAGCTTGACTCTCTTTGCATCTGGAACACGGTATTGGGTCATAGAACCAAAAACGCGAAGCATAGACAGATCTGGTTTAACTCCAAACCCAGCCTCATATGGCGTTACACCATCCGGTAGGGGCCTTGTGGGTCTCCTGTTGCGAACATAGATTGCCATAGTGATTGCCTCACCCCACCAGAGCTTGTCAAGGCCCTTAAACTGAAGAAAAGTGGTAGCTATTGCTTGAATATTGCGATGAAACCTCTCTGCAACTCCATTTTGCTGAGGACTATAGGGACAAGTGAACTGTTGTTTGATGCCCAATGCCAACAACTCCCCCTGAAATGCTTTTCCCATGTACTCACCTCCTCGGTCCGACCTCAAGGTGAGTAACTTCTTCCCTGGCTCTCTCTCAACAA